TATTAAGTGAAACTACGGAAGCACATACTGGTTAAACATTGTACATAACCTTGAGCTAAAAAATAACCAAAGCGGCTCAATTTACCTGCGAATGATGTTGAACCTTCACACATTCTCCAAACACGATTGTCAACACTTAGCATCCATTCTCTAATTACATGTTTGCGAGACGCTTTCTGGATGCAGATGAGAAAGAAAGGATCCGAGGACTTGCTGAAGATAACAATCATAACACCAACATGGGCCAGGAAATGCAGGGAAAACTACTTGTGTTCTGCTTCAAAGTATAAACTAATTAGTGTTGGGGAATATTTTTAGCCGAAAGTGGTCCGTCAGTGGGTTGTGCAGAGTTTGGCACATCATCAGTGCTGTGTCTATCCGGCAGAAAACTTCAGATGCGTAAACACTGCCTGAACTATAAGTCACACATCTGCTGTAATGTCCACAGTTTGTGCAACATGATTTTGCAAAGAGAGGTCGGCATATTCTTGGAGGAAAGTTATTCTTACAAAGTGCATTCCATACTGTCAATAAAATAAATCTTCAAGTTAGTTTTTGAAATATACAGCAGTCTTTGCATCATTAGTTGTTAGTAGGTTATCCTGCAAAAATAATAAGGTTTGAAAGATATACGTTACCAATATCAGAAAAAGCACCACGATAAAAAAATATAGAATTTTAGATTTTAGATACATAGATGGACGACGCTAACCTCCTAGCTAAACTTCTCTAGCTCAGTCACACTCTCCATTTTAGGCTTCAAAAAGTATATTATAACACTCTAAATGATCGTATTGTTTAGAATTTGATATTCCAGATAACAGTTGTACAAGGATTGGATTGCCAGCTTGCCTTAGCAACCATCTTAGAAACATGTCTGCCCCTGTAACGCCGCGAAGCAAACACCGTCAGAACAAATGCCAAATTAAGGAAAAAGGCTACAGCTAGCTTGTGTTAAAATTGACTTCTTCCCCATTAAGGCTAACTCTATGGGCAAGGCAAGGTGATGTCGGCACTCGAGAAGTCCACTCCTACAATACAATCAATGCTTCCTTTGCATGTGCCCTGGATGTACAGTTAAGCACAATAAACACAATTTTTACATTTACCCTTGAATGCGCCACTACCAGCCAACCACAAACCTTATTTCTTGTTTGTTGTGGATCGACAGCTGAAGCTAACCAACAAAAAAACATAGTTAAATATCTGGAATGAATGAAAAGATATGAAATGTTCTCCCTATTGTTCTGTTCAGTCATCTTTTTAACCAGCCATTTTGAAAGTAATTTGCTTCCGTTTGGATTTTTTGAGATTGTTTTTAACTTCAACTTTAATTTATTCCATTATTAAATCATGTTATTTGCGGATCTGCATTTTGGGTCCTTTGTTCTTTTCATTTCCTGACAGAACGGACCAGCCATATTGGAACCCTGTAGACTGCCTTCTCTCCAGCTCTCGACAGTCATTTTTCCAATAATATGCTACTGCTATTAAATCCTGTGTAAAGTGATTACCTATTCTACCCAGGTCTGCTAGCATTTTACTTCTGTTTCGAGTATAGACACTAAAACAAGTTTGAGAGGATTCATTTAAGTGATTATGGACATGGCGATCTTTCCAAGGACCTGAATCTCTTCAATCAGCCTCCCTCAGAGCAGAGCCTAAATGCACATCTCTTCTTAAGCATTAATCATTCATTGTGCATCTGTGTTACAGTCACACTAAGTTTGAAATGAAGGCAGCGATGATGAGACGGCGTCAGTAAAAACTAGGCTTGTGAGTCGTCTCTGAGACTGGCGCGGCGAAGCACAAGAAAAGGTTGAAACTCTTGTGATTAAAGCAGTCTAAACAGATATGATGCTATTTCAGGCTCAAAAGACACAAGACAGCTGCTTTCAGTCCTGTCAAATTGTACCTCCACCACGAGTAATCATAGACAACAGGAGGAAAAAACGGGGTTTCAAATTAGATTTTGAGTGTTTTGATTTTGATAGATACTGCACAAACCAATACAAAGGTATAAATGTAAATAACTATATTTAGACTGGATTGTCTCGTGTCTAAGTACAAGACACAGTTTTACACATACAAAACTGCTTTGAGCTATTAATGGCATGGCTCTTTAGCAACACTTCTAACACAGTAATTACAGACTTATTTTAAGGGTGGCAATTTAACTTATAATGGGCTTAGAATTACGGTATAAATGGCATAATCTGTTAACTAAAATATTTTTGGGTGACTGGCCTCTTGGTCTCTTCACCTGCTTTTCTCAAAATAGGCCGATAAGTTTCAAGGTGACCTAGGCTAGAATTAGTTTCATTCATGAATTTTAAGAGGTTTTAACCAGAACGCAGCCAAATTGTAAAGAGGGGGCAGCAGTCTAAGCAGAGAAGCCCAGACTTCCCTATCCACAAACAATTCCTTCAGCTCATCTGGGTGGAATCATGAGGCGTTCCCAGGCCAGCTGAGAGTGAGTCCCTAAAACATGCTCTGGTTCTTCCCCGGGGTCTTTAAGAAATTATGTTAATGTATATTTTAAGTACAGTCCATGGAATAGAGTAAAAAGTCCATGGAACCATTTCAACTTGGAAAGACTCCAGTAAATAGCACTATATTGATTTAATGTGTGTAAACTGTCTTTGGCACTTTCTGAGATGTACAAGCTGGTGAGATGAAGATGAGACGACACAAGGAGAGCTAAGTTGTATAATCGTCTTCATCTAAATTCCTACTATGGTTGGTCGACATCACACACGCGAGAGTTGTTTTGACACGATAGCACATGTCGCTCAATGTGAGAGGAAGAGGTGAGGAGAGTGTGAAATGCCTTAAGATCATAACCGTAGTGCACACAAAAGCACTTCTTCACTGCAAGAGGAGGCAAAGTAATATAAGTAAGATATTAAGACAATTAAAGCTACATAAGCATCCATTTCAGTCTAATCGACACATACAACTATAATTAATCTAACCAGGAAGTACAGTCACAGTATTAGTATGTCCAATTATGTTTCTACTATTTTCGATAATTGAACCACTACCTATCCAATATAAATGGCATAAACAACACCATCAACACACGCTTGTACTAGAGTTCAAATAGAGTCTAATAACCCCCTTTTATCCACAGTGATAGTCAGAGATTGGATAAATGCAGTTGTGGGTGAAGGTGTTGAGCAGTGCCCCCCGTTGTGCCAGACTAATCTGCCCTGGCTTACACCGGCTGCACCAAGCCCAGCTTTTTGCATCAACTGCCGCGTGTGGGCTGAGCTACTACAGGGATTCATGAGAGGAATTAGCTATCAGGATTTAATAGGGAAATAACACAATAGCAATTTAATGTCTGATATAAAAAGGGCTGGGAGAACATTTTAAAACTGTACAACTCTATCACAACAAAAAATATGTTAAAACTTTGGTTCTATCATTAGTTATTTATGATTTAAATCCCTAATGTGGTTTTAATTACCCGCATGATTTGAATTTTTTTGTTTTTAATACCTTGCCTGATCTCTTGATTTTCAGACAGTAAAGTGTAAAGGAGAGGACCACCCTCACTCAATCAGCTCTCTTACAAGACTCTTTCTGATGGGAGCAACTTATGTATTTGTATAACTACTTAAATTAAACTAAACCCAGGTGTATTGGTCACTAGTCATTTCACTACATGTTATTGACTGTGTTGTTAACCTTGTATGTGACAAATACATATAGATCTATTTGTCTATCATGGTCTGCGTTTCTGTGTATAAAGTGTGAGGGCAGTTTGGAGGGAAGCTTGTTGCCGAGTTCCTCTGCTACATCTGTGATCGCACACCAAAGTTAAACATCCCCAGTGCAAGCGTACACACAGATGCAATATTTCAGTCACTCAAAATTATACAGGGATTATCGCGAACGGTAATATATCGCCCAGCCCTGTTAGCCTCAGTTTAAAATGTAATACAGGAAGAAATCAGCCGTCTCCAGCTCTATGTCTGTGCCACATTAAAACAGTTGGAGGTCAATAGTTCAGCCTGCAGCACTATTAACCTCAGAGCACGGGGAAAACTGACATGGCTCAGCCTCATCATACACTGTTGTAAAGTCGGATCCATCTCCAGGCTACAGCGTGTTTGAGCCCATTCAGAACGCCACAGCGAATCTTCATCGCATTCATTGTGAGTATTATTACTTGATACAATTAGTTTAACACTGTAAGACAAGTGAAGAAGTAAGTGGACTTTAGAATGTTTGAGTTACTTTTGTATTTCATAACAATTTGAAAAATCTCAAGCACCTAAAGGGTAATTCTGAGGTTGCATTTGGTTGCAATCAGAGCGTTGCTTTTAACACTCCCAGGCATTTGTCTTTTTGAATGTTAAGGTCATGTCTAACTGGGAGGGGAAAAAAAAGAATAACCAGCAGATTACATTAGTCCAGTTATCAGGTCTCTGCACTTCCTGTGACTCAGGGAATAGACTTTTGTGTACGAGTCTCTCCATGGCCTTGCACCGCAGTACATCTGAGACATGTTAGTGCCATATGAACCAACTATGGGACTGGACTCCTGCTGGTACCCAGAAGCAGGACTAAACATTTCAGATTTATGTAGCTACAACAGTCTTGAGACAGGCTTCTTCTCTGACAATGTTCAAATCCATGTTAAAAAAGGTTCTGTTTAGCTGTGCAGACAACTGAGGGATTGTATCTTCACTCTTTTTAATGTATTATGATTATTTATAGCTTCAAAGCTTTGTGTGATTGGTTCTATCTTGTTGTGTTAAGAACCTTGACTTGCCTTGTATATGAACTAGGCTTAACAAATAAACTTGCCTCGCCTTGCCCTTGACAATTACTAAATGCTTGCAACTATACTGTATGAATTTCCCTTCAGGTCCTGCATACTCGCCATGTCAAGAGAAAATAGAAACCATCCCCGCAATAGTCGATTACACACAAATCATTGCCGCAGCTCAACACTTAACGAATGATGACAAAAGTTCAGAAGCACTAACCTTTGCTTTCCCAGTGCTCTGCAGAATATGCACCAGTGCACACGCCATCTCCTCTTTGTTTTTCACACTTATGCCCGGCTCCAGCACCGAGCACAACAACATATAGTTATTAGTGGTGTACTCTGCGAACTCCTTGTACATCTCCATCGGAAGAATGTTCATGGTCTGGTAGCGGGCCTTAATGCGGATCATTGGCCCAGAAGTCTTTGCTTTCGGGGGGATGGGGGTGCTGACGGGATACCATTTCTCCACGAACTGTCGCCCCGTCACGGCGGCGACAGGAATACTGACCAGTCCGATGTAATTGTTCTTGTCTTTCTTCTTCTTCTTGTCCGTGTCTTTGTACAAGTGCGCAGTGATGTTTTTGACGGCGGGGAGGTTGTTGAACTCAAAGTGCTCTCCCCAAAACACATTGTCAGTTTTAAGCTTACAGGTGGTGCGGGCATAGAGACAGTCGTCCAGACACAGTTCACAGAAGTATTTCTTTTTGGCGGGAAGATCTTTGGCCTCGATGATCCACAGACGCAGCAGGTTCTCCACTCGCCGGCTGTTGTCCTGCAAAACAATTGGGCAAAGGTTGTATTCATCATAAAGCAAGGAAAACTCTGGAGCGGATGTTTCTAAGGTATGTACTTCAAAATTCAAGCCAGACCTATCTTTATTCGAGTTTATGAATAGTTTATGAGGCCTTGGGCGCCAGAATTTTTCTGAAATTGAATGAAATGGAGGACTACTAAAATCTACTACTAAAACAATCTGAAATAAATTAGAAAAAAATATATAAGGTATTGGTTGGTGGAGGTGGCTGTGTAGAACATGTCTTGGATTCAAGAGCTTTTGTACTTTGTGTGTATGATTTTATTCTAGAAGTCACTTTTTGTTGAATACATAATGCATAGTTTTGAGAGCATTTGCCTCGACCTGTTTTTACGTTTAGGTTAGGGCACGCCTTTTGTGAACTAACAATTTATTTTGTTGCCTACAGCCTGAGAAATCTCATCATAGTGAAGCTTGTGTAGCTGTTTGAGCAGAAAGTAGTAATTGTGTAGTAATTGTTTGTCCGTTTACCATACCTCTGGACACATATTCATAATCTACACCAGGGGTCTCAACCTTGTGGCTCATGATCTATCTGTAGCTTGCCAAAGCATATAGAATTTAAAAAATGATCTTAAATTAATACATTTTGAGTTATTACAAATTGTATTACATATTTTGAGTATAAATATAGGGTTACAGTATCATTCTATATTTTACATGTGTTCTCCATGTTTTGACGTAATTATTAGATAGATTTTTATTAAGACTGGCAAAAGAAGTAGCTCTCTGCTTCTTCTTTTGTACAAAAGTAGCTCTCAGATTGAAAAAGAATGGAGACCCCTGATCTACACTGTAAACTGTCAATCGAGTTTATTTATAAATACAATTTTAAGTTTTATTATGTCTTGTTTGCGCCACATACCAAAGCAAATTCCTAGGACGTAGATGTTATCTTGATGCCCACAGTGGTCGTAACCATGGGGCTACATTAGTCACAAGGAGCTTTCATACTTCTTTTTCAATAAGAACCAAATGTCTGAGGTTGAAAAAGACACAGAGTACACGTTCTGCTCAGTATAAAACGGCCTCTTTCTCCTCCTTTCAAAGTGCTCCCGGTACAGTCTGCAGCATACGCCACTTCTACAAAAGGTAAATTGCTTGATTAATCTGCTGAGTCACTCAGCCTGAACGCACGAGTGAAAGGGTAAGTATCCGAGCGTTATTTAGAGATATCGCTGTTACAATAGCGCAGAGCAGGCTGACGGCATGAATACCTTTAGATCAATATTCAAACATCTGCTTTGAGGACTTGTGTAAGTAACATGTCGAATTAATTTCCCTTAAAATTCATGGTTTAGGGTCATTTTATTAAAATCTTGTATTTTTCGTTGTGTAATAATTGTGTTTTATGTCAGTTTATCATACCTCTATTGTCGGTTGTGGGTAATATAGCTATAAGATATTTCTTTATTTATTTTCTATTTTTATTTATCATCATTTTTATGTGCCATACACCAACACAAATTCCTAGTTTGTGGCTATTACTTGATTCAGTTTCTTATAATTTATCTTTTCTGATTTTTCAATTGAATGGGATAGTATTAAGTGATTGACATGAAGGCTAGTTTTCCTGGGTAGATATGTTTTTGTGGTAGGGGCAATTGGTGCACCCGGAGAAAACCTACGCAGACACAAGGAGAATATTCAAATTCAGAAAGGCGTCAAAACCAGGACATTCTTGCTGACCACTAAATCCCCCTTGAGCCCCAAGAAATCAATGTGTTTTTTTTCTTTAATTTGTTTTTATGTACCGGTATTCTAACCCGGGTTCTCCGGGAGTACGGGGTCGGGGGTCCTCTGCTGAGGGCCATCCGGTCCCTGTATGACCGGAGCCAGAGCTGTGTTCGCATTGCCGGCAGTAAGTCAGACCTGTTCCCGGTGAATGTTGGCCTCCGACAGGGCTGCCCTTTGTCACCGGTTCTGTTCACTGTATTTATGGACAGAATATCTAGGCGCAGCCAGGGGTCGGAGGGGGTCCGGTTCGGGGACCACAGGATTTCATCTCTGCTGTTTGCGGACGATGTTGTCCTGTTGGCTCCAACAAACCAGGACCTGCAGCATGCACTGGGACGGTTTGCAGCCGAGTGTGAAGCGGCTGGGATGGGAATCAGCACCTCCAAATCTGAGGCCATGGTGCTCGACCGGAAAAAGGTGCCCTGCCCTCTTCAGGTGGGTGGAGAGGTCCTTCCTCAAGTGGAGGAGTTCAAGTATCTCGGGGTCTTGTTCACGAGTGAGGGAAGAATGGAGCGTGAGATTGACAGGCGGATCGGTGCAGCGTGCGCAGTGATGCGGTCGCTGTATCGGACTGTTGTGGTAAAGAAGGAGCTGAGCCGAAAGGCAAAGCTCTCGATTTACCGGTCAATCTTCGTTCCCTCCCTCACCTATGGTCATGAGCTTTGGGTAATGACCGAAAGAACGAGATCGCGGATACAAGCGGTCGAAATGAGCTTCCTCCGCAGAGTGGCTGGGCGCTCCCTTAGAGATAGGGTGAGGAGCTCAGTCACACGGGAGGAGCTCGGAGTAGAGCCGCTGCTTCTCCACGTCGAGAGGAACCAGTTGAGGTGGCTCGGGCATCTGTTCCGGATGCCTCCTGGACGCCTCCCTGGGGAGGTGTTCCGGGCACGTCCCACCGGGAGGAGGCCCCGCGGAAGACCTAGGACACGCTGGAGGGACTATGTCTCTCAGCTGGCCTGGGAACGCCTTGGGGTCCCCCCGGACGAGCTGGAGGAAGTGTGTGTGGATAGGGAAGTCTGGGCGTCTCTGCTTAGACTGCTGCCCCCGCGACCCGGCAACGGATAAAGCGGAAGAAAATGGATGGATGGTATTCTAACCCCTAGTATTTATAATCATAGGCCTTTACTAAATGGTTGAGATAGAGTTTGATGGTAAAAGTGGCTAAAACCAAGTGAGATGCCCCAAAGAGGTATATTTCAGTTCCAAGCTTCATGTAGAAATTGTGACTCAAAAAGCGATCCACCAAATGGGTAAGGAAACTATTAAAGGGTTAAGAGTGGAGGATGTGCAAGTTTCATTGATATTAACTCCCTAATATCAATGACACTCTTTCTAATGACCCAGTTGCATTGTGATGTATGCGGAGAAAGAATTTAGGGACATGCATATGAATACAGTTGATTGCTTCGCACACTTGCTTCCCCACTGTGGATGTATTCACCTTATTCGGCTGCACCGCTCTCCTCAGATTCTCCATCCATTTGTCTCTCTCGGCGGAAGAACGACAGGAAAAACATTTGCTTCCCGTGGAGGTGGTGACCTACCGTGGAGAGAGGAGAGAACATTTTAATGATCAAAAACCTTGGGCATATATCACCGGGAAATAAATAGAACAAAGATTGCATTGCTAAACTTTGTTCTTTTTAAACCATTTTGTCTCAGGAGGTAAAAGCGGCTTATCAACACAATGGCAGATGACGCGAACGGACTGAAGAAGAGAGAGATTGTTTTGGCAGGACGACTGTATCAAACCGGAACAGGGACGAGCTAAAAACAGCAAAACAAACCTATTAATGCAACGAGCCAGATAATGATGATTAGTTGAGCCTTGTGGTCTCGCTGGTATTGTGCGCCATCTCTTCACTCTCTATAAATAAAAACTAACACTCAAGTGCCAGTTGTCTTTGGATTATAGCAGGAGTGCAGCAGAAGAAACACAGATGTCCTCGCTAAGTCCGCTGCTCCACTTAGAACACCGCCAGGATCTTATAGAAGTGCAGTTTCTGTGCGTGAACTGTGGCAACCTCGCCGTATATGGTTTCATTACATAACAGAAAGAAATAGACTTTGAAATAGAGTAAAATAATGCTTCGGTTTTTTATAGCGCTTTTCAGGACACTCAAAGACGCTTAAGAAAGTCAAAAAAATCAGGTTGCTTGCTCTTTTTCCAAATTAAAATTCCAGACTTTTTCCAGCCTTTTTTAAAACTGACATTTTTTTCCCCCCATGACCTTAAAATCATAAATTTGAAAACACGCAACGACCCATTTCTGTTGACCACTTGGCTAGCTATGTGTCAATAGACCTCAGCAGTGACATCCCAAAAAAGTATTTATGGTGCTCGAACTGTTTGATTCCCTGATCTGTTGTGATTTAGAGTCATTCAAAAATAAAACGAATTGAATTAAATTTCAATGGGATGTTACTGGTTAAATAAAAGGTCCAAAAAATAAAAAATAAGTTTAATCCAACCCCTTATCAAACTTGTATTAGTGAGAATAAATGTGAAATTTTGTTCTGCAGGTTCGAAATAAAATAAAATCAAACTAATATCTGATTTTTTTGATACTTTTGACAGCCCTACTACTGTAGCCTGAATAGTGGCGTGTATAAGACCATGCTATAATAACGCTTGAGTCCCATATGGCTCTGGCTCACCTCAAAGCAGTAGTCCTGCCCGAGGATGCTGCTGTGAACGGGCTTGATGATGACTTCGTCCTCCATGCTTAGGTCCAGGGCTTCCACAGCACTGCTTGGGCTGAGCAATGATTCATGGGAGCGAGATTCCTTCAGCCTTGGCATCAAATGAGACCTGTGAACAGAGAGACGTGTGAGGAACGAGAGACAGCAGCATATGCAGATGAGACAACAGCCAAAGTGTTAAGTCTGACGGAGAAGGGAAAGGTCGATGATAATTGTGGTAGTTTTTTGTTTTTTAATGTCGTGTCATGGTTCAGTGCAGTGTATTTCTTGTCTTAATGTCTTCATATTTTCAGTTAAGCTTTTGTTTAGTTTTAGACACCAGCATAAAGGTTTCCAATTACATTTTGGTTGACAAACCAACTAAAAGTGGCTTGGTTGACTGAAGGTGCCAATTTTTTGAGTCAAATATTAAGATCAATGCAAGACTATTATTAGAGACTAGATACAATTTTTATCACAGAACCCTAAACAAGACCATAAGCAAAGTCAACATCCAAAATGTCTGTTCTGGACTAATTATTTTGACTGCAAGTTTTAGTAGGAATGAGAAGACATTTATTGTCAAAATATATTGGATTTACCAGGGTTATAAGATCTCATAATTAAAACAATTGTCTATTGTCATTCTTTTCAAATATAGCTGGTTCGGTTTGTATAAGAAATATAGGAAGAAGTATAGGAAATTTCGGAATTTTCAGCAAGTGCTGTATTTATAGTTATAGTAAAGTAAAGTTATAATTGTTATAGTAAAAAAAGTTTCGGGATATTGTCAAAAACTGTAAACTTTTGTTAGGTAAAACTAGAAAATTAAGAAATCAGTATTTGACTAAATCTTGACTGAAACTAACAATGTCTTTCAGTCAAAATACCAATAATAAAACAAAATGACACTTGGTACAATAAGGCATTAGTTCAATATGTATTCAGATCATGCATTATTTAGCAATAAAACCCTTAGTATACATGGTTTTCTTTTAATCATAAAATGTATTTGATCTTTGGAAACGTGTGACCTAAGTTCTATCGTACCTAAAGGCCAAAGAAAAAATAAACTACAAACAATAAAAAAAGACTAATATCCTTAATCCAGTCACAGTTTCTCCCAAAATCTCTGCCAACTTCCTCCCCGCCTTCTTTGTGTATAACAGTATAATCCTTATTTCACATGACTGACTTTTGGAGCGGCCCTCTCCAGCGTCGAGCCCGAGTCCCACTGCACTTTACTCACTCACACAACTGCATATATTCCTCAAAGTATCAGCTTACACTTGTGCGGGGCAAAAATGCTTGCAGCTATACGTCACATGTGTAAGCCTTGAAGAAACACAACGACAGATTATTGAGTTTCTCCACCATCCATTGAGTGCAATCCATTCACCACCCATTGACCTTATCACCCAATACTTCCGAGCAGTATTCCAAGAACACTAGAGAAACGCTGGCACTATATTATTTCTATCTTATAATATATTCTATAGATTTATGATTTACTTGTTGCCACTAAAACATTGACAGTAGAATCCCTGCCCTTGCTAAAAAAACAATGACTCGAAATTGCACAACGAAGCAATATGGGGCATGCAGTAAAGCAGCTTTGGGAAAGGCCATAATAAATGTTGTCTTGAGCCGTCTATCACAAATCTTCCCATTATTACATTTTTGACCGTGTTGCGATTCCATGACACATTTGGAATGAACACCAGTAAAAATACTACGTTTTAAAAACTGATACCCTGGGAAAGAAGGGGAAAAAAAGAAAGAAAAAAAGGTGAGCATTGACAGAATGAATGCGACAACAGGTCAATTAACAGCGTAATGAGGGAGGCACTCTTTTGATAATGGCCTCTGTGCAAAGCTTACAAGCTAATCTCTCTGTTTGTGTTTATTTTCACCTTCTCTGAGGACTCATAACAAATACTGTATTCTAGTAAATAAAAGTGGGAAAAAATCTGCTGTAATTATGGATTAGCGGCCGGGGGCAGACCACGTTCAGACAGCCGGCTTTGTTGTCAAATCCACAGTCCAATAATCTCGATTGTGCCATTTCCCCGGCTGCTCTCGTTCTCTCGCACATATGTATATACACAAAAACATACATTAGCATTCAGCACACACGGAACGACGCGTTGTAACAGTCCCTAACCGGCTACACACCCCACGTTTTTACAGAGGAGGCATCCCTCAGCACTTGTTGTTGGAGACCTGCCTTGTGATTGGCTGATGAGGTACTGGGCAAAACAGCCAGCGAGTCAAGTGAGGAGAGAGGCTGGGGCTTCCTACGAGACGTGCGCTTAGAGACACAAAGGAGTGATTAATGTTAGGTGTTGAATTTTCTTCTTTGGCTAGTCAAGGGGTAAAAATGTATTACAGCAATGTGTATTAATCAACATTATATTCACATTCATATACCATATACTAATGACTTGTTTTATTCTCAAAAAGCAACAATAAAACTACACTAAAAGTACACTAAATATAAACAATTATAAAAATCTATGCAAAATAAGCTCCTTTCTAATTTTGCTTCATGCATCCCTAAAATATGTTTGGACTTTATGTTACTGAAATAGAAAGCCTTGAGAGACTGAGCTCCAATGCGCTTCCATTTCCCAAGATCAACACAGCACGGTGCTGATTGAGTAGTTCTTTTGCTTCACGGCAAATGTTGTCAGTTTTTCCCCTGCATGGTGAGTTTCCTCCAGGTGTTCCAGTTTCCCCCTCCACCATATAAAATCCTCCAGCACCATCCTCCAGCTCCTGAATATAGACTGTTCTGTATATAGATGGACCAGGCAAGCCCTCTAGCTCAATGGAGCCCAATAGGGAAATGCTCATGGACAAAGTTTAGCTCACTCTGGTTTCTATTGACTTACATTGAAAAGTAAACTCCTCTTACTCATTAACTGCTTGTGGTTTTACGCTTTCTGTGATCCTAGATTTGTGGGGGATACTCCAGCATGCCTTAGCAACCATGTTAGCAACACATTAGCTAACTCTGTTGGAACAAATACCAGTATAAGGGAATTGGCTCCAGCTAGCTCATGATGAAATCAGCTTTTTACAAATGCAGAAGGCATATTTTTCTACAATAAAGGGACAATAAAATATATGTTAACCTTTGTTTTAGTTCTGTTTATGTTTATTACATTATAAAGAAATCAACTCTGGTCTGTGCTTCGGGAACAATGAAGAATTACTTTGAAAATACAGTTTAATATGTTGTGTTTTGGAATTTAATGGATAATAATCTGACAATAGAGAAACCAAAAACTGGTCAACATTTAACCTCTGCCCAACCCCCGCAATATTTAATAACACAATAGAATAACAAAACATCTTCAGGTTTTTTGGGTTTTGGGAAAGGGGTCAGTCCCACCCAAAGTTAATCTGGAGCAGTGTAACCGGGAACTATATTACCTTTGAAATAATATGATTGATCTGACTGTAGTTACTTAAACATTTAAAAGGAGTAATCGGAAATCCATCATCTCATTACTTTTCTAGAGGAACTCAAATCTTTCAGTTTGAAAAAGAGACAAGAATAAATGTAATACATTTTGGAGGTGGCCTGGATCCAGGATTTGTTTAAAAAAATGGAAATGTGACTCTGAGGAGGTCTTTCTAGTTTTTTGCAAAATCATTCAGATCATCGTCCTTTATTGTCAATGACAGTCGCTGCTTTCCTCTCAGTTACTTGGAAATGAACGCTGCTTTAGCTCATGTTTGACGAGGCCTTTGAAGTCCTGGTATACAGCCTACTCACATTTGCTCTGCATTGATTCTCATGTGATCACTATCAGCCGACCCTCTGTCTCAAGGGCTTCATTTGAGCCATTTGAATATTTCAGGAGCCGTCAGGAGTTAAGCTGAGAAATTCTGCACAGATAGAGCCCCTTACCGCCTCTAGTGAAATGCATTATGTAAAAGGTCATGGCTAAAGAAAAGATTTAAGAATGCATCGTCAGAGTTACACAAGATGTTGTAAGAAGAGCGCATCCTTCTAACCCATCAACACATTTGTCAACAGGAGGAAGATGATTAGATCGTTTATAGCCTTCAAGCTTCGATAGTGCTGCTTTTCTCAGCACTTCCATCACATTTGTTGACAGCACATTTCACCAACAAAATAGTTTTATGTAAATATTAAACTAGTGGAAGGAGAGTTCACTTCTCTTCAATCGCTGTAACAGTTTTAAGTGTGTCTGGCTCCTCAGTTCTCTTTGCTTCAGTGTTGAGTTCATCTGAAAGCATCCCTGATCTGATCACTGCACTTACTGCACATACTGAGTGGCTGCAGCTCGTACCACAAGGAAATATGTTTGTGTTTATGGCTCAAGACCTTTTAGAGTTCATCAACAGAATCAATACTTAAGTATAGGCTGTTACATAATAATTAGAGGAAATGAGAACAAAATAAACAATTTGGTTTACTCAATAACTGACAGGCAATAGTGTATGTATATAAAATAGTCAAGTGTTTACTATGCAAAAGGTAAACTTAATTAGCTTCAGAGCGTTCATAAATAATTCATGCAGAATTGGCTCAGAGGCTTTGCAGGTTTAGGGGGCGGAGAATCTGGGCCGCAGTGGGTCACTATTCTTATAGACTGTACGTACGCATCAATACCCAGTATGCACCGATCCAGCATTTTCATGTACGATAGGATTCAATTTGAATTATATTGTATAGCCCTGTATCACAACAGCAGTCGTCTTGGAGGACTTTACAATATTGTCGAGTCGCCAACAACAGATCAGAGAATCAAGCAGTTTGAACACAAGAAATGCTATAATAACAAACACATAGGAGCCATCCATAGGGAGCTGGATGACCTACATCCATAAATGTTAATACATGTCCTTAAATGTCCTGAATCATCACTGTCCTTAGACGCTCCCGCGTTGGCAACAAACCCAGGAGGGGAAAATGCGAGAAACCAAGGAGAGGTTCATATTGAGAGAGGAAACTGCTCTCCTTGAACGGACAGGATGTAGATCTATAGGACTCAGGCTGCAGAACGAGGAGCACAGTTCTTTGTAAATGTATCGCAGAGTAAAAGTTCAGTTCCCCACAAATAGAGTGTCTATTGTCATGTGTCTGTCTGGGTC